GTGCTTGGATTACAGGCATGAGCCACCATGCCTGGCTGATGGTGATCTTTAACATTACTATTGTAGTTGCTTTGGGATGCCACTAACTGCACCCATCTAAGATGGGGAACTTATATGGAAAAAAGTTCAAGATCAAGCCAGCCACAACATTTTCTTAAGTCAAAGCCTAATCCAGAGCAAAGCCTTAGCTTTCTTCAATTCTATGAAGGCTGAGAGAGGTGAAGCTGCAGAAGAGGCCAGGTGTGGTGGCTTATGCCTGTAATCCCAGCACTTTGGGAGGCAGAGGCCAGAGAATTGCAGAAGCCCAGGAGTTCAATACCAGTCTCGGCAACACAGTAAGACTCAGTCTCTACAAAAAATTGTCAGGACATGGTGGTGTGCACCTGTAGTCCCAGCTACTCCAGAGGCTGAGGTGAGCCGTGACTGTATCACTGCACTCCAGAGTGAGACTCTGTCAAAAAAAAAAAAAAAAAAAAGCACAGAAGAAAAGCTGGAAGCTGGCAGAGGTTGGTTCATGAGGCTGAGGGAAAGAAACCATTTCCATAACAAAAGGGCAAGGTGAAGCAGCAAGTGCTAATGGAGAAGCTGCAGCATCTCCAGAAGATCTAGCTAAGATACTGATGTTGGCTGCACTCAACAACAGATTTCCAATGTAGACATATAGGCTTCTTCTGGAAGAAGATGCCATCAAGGACATTCATCCTAGAGAGGAGAAGTCAATGTCTGGCTTCAAAGCTTCAGAGGACAGGCTGACTCTCTTCTTAGGAGTGAATGCAGCTGGTGACTAGACGGTAGAGGCAATGTTCATTGACCATGTCAAAAATCCTGGGGCGCTTAAGAATTATGCTAAATCTACTTTGCCTCTGCTTTATAAATAGAACATCAAGGCTTGGATGACAGCACATCTATTTATAGTGTTTTTTTTTTTAAATATAGTGTAGTTTATTGAATATTTTAAGCCCATTGTTGAGACCTACTGCTCAGAAAAAAAAAAAAATCCTTTCAAAATATTACGGCTCATTGGCAATGCACCTATTCAACCGAGAGCTCTAATGGAGATGTACAGTACAAGGAGATGAATACTGTCTTCATGAATGCACCTGTTGAACCGAGAGCTCTAATGGAGATGTACAGTACAAAGAGATGAATACTGTCTTCATGAATGCACCTGTTGAACCAAGAGCTCTAATGGGGATGTACAGTACAAGGAGATGAATACTGTCTCCATAAATGCACCTGTTCACCTCAGAGCACTAATGGAGATGTACAGTACAAGGAGATGAATACTGTCTCCATGAATGTACCTGTTCACCCGCGAGCTCTAATGAAGATGTACAGTACAAGGAAATGAATACTGTCTCCATGAATATACCTGTTCACGTGAGAACGCTAATGGAGATGCGAAGTACAAGGAGATGAATACTGTCTTCATGAATGCACCTGTTCACCCAAGGGCTCTAATGGAGATGTACAGTACAAGGAGATGAATACTGTC